TCTTCTTCTCGTAAGAGACGTACGGCCTGACTTTCAGCGTGTGGTTGCCGTCCGGCTACAGCATCTGCGTCGGTAGTAGATGCATCTAACAAAGCATCACGTATCGTCCTATTCTGCAGCTGCCCGACATGTTGCGTACCCGTTTTCCGGTCGTCCTCGACAACTTGGCGTACGTTGTCATCAAACAAGACGGTCAGAGGCTGGACCCCCAGATCTTTCAATGCTACAATGTTTGTAAATTTTGTAGATGATGGCATTAAACCATCCGAACGCCGCCTGTGGCTAACTCGCCATATGAATTCTCGCAAGGCAACAAGTTTGAAATCGTCGTCGTGCGACAGTCCAGCATTGCGGAGCTTCCGCAACCATGCTTCGTCTTCATCATTTTTGGGTAGCCGTTGTAATACTTTCTGGTCTAGTTCTCGACCAGATATTGTAGGCAGACTGTCATCGTTCGAGCCGAACGTGAAAGTCTGTTGCTGCTTAGCTGGGGCCCAGAAAATGCCTTTCTGTGTTTGTAGAGCCCAATTCGAACTCATCTCCATGAGTAACCTGGTAAGAGGACTCTTCAACGAATCAAGAATCCTGAACTCGGAGAGGTCTGACGGTACAACCTTAAGGTATGGTCTGATGAGATTCACCAGAATGCTGTGACTATCTGCAATGGACAAATACCTGGACGCAGTCGAAATGAATTGTGCAGCAGCCTCCCGAATCCAAGGGTTAGGGTGCATAGAAAGTCGAGCTACAATATCAACCAGCTCCCATGTCTTTGAACGTTGGAACAAGCCCAGTTCTGCCATCGATGCAAGCGCTCGTATAACTCTTTCGACTACGAATTCTTCTGGGTCCGTCAAGGCTTGTACCATGAGGGGCAGAATGTAGCCCTCTAGGCTTGCTCCGCCAACGAATACTGCAACACCGATGATGGCATCGAAGAAGGCACACTTGAGCAGCCAGTCCGGATCGTTGAGGTATGTATTTAGATGACTGAGGACTACATCATTTGCTCTCGGACTACCGAAAAAGACGCACAGGTCGGACACGGATCGAAGGATCGCCCGGCGGACAGATGGGTCCGAGTCCGTGAGGAGTGCCTTTGTGTGTTTCTCTATAGTCTCGAGCAGGATTCCACGATCTGAATCAAACTGGTTGCGATGCGCAGAAGAAGATAAGTCATCTTCTGTCTCCGGGTCGGCTCGAGGCAATGAGCCTTCTGCACGTAGCGCTTGTATCATGTCAAGATACCGCGAGGCAGTAGTGGACAAAGTGCCAATACAGAAAGCATACTGCATTCTCACAAGAGGGCTGACCTTGGTAGTCGACTCAGGCAGGAATGCCTCCAAGCGAGGCAGAACATACTCTGGAAAAATGTACGCGTTTAGTGGAGACACAACTTGAACCATCGCCAAGACCTGCGTCAAAGTACGTAGAGCGGCGATTCTGGTTTGTTCCGATTTGTCGGTTAACAATTGGGCGACGTAAGGAACGACTCGGTCGAGTTTGGCTTCATCAGTTAGGCGCTCGGAAAAGGCCATGAGAAGTTCCAGTCCTCGAACACGAGCCGAAGCTCTTGCTGTTCCTCGTAGACATGAGACTACTATGGTCAAGAAAATGAGATTCCCATCGTCGATAGCAAGGCTCGGGGCAGGTGTAATTTGGTGTTGGTAATTCGGGATATTGACGTGGAGAGGGAAAACCTTGGCGTTGGGCTTTGGAGGAGCGCTGTGTGGCTTTGACAGAGGTCTGTCTCCACCACCCGAGAGAAGGTGGGAGATTTTATCATAGTCGTTGAAAATCTGCTCGATGCGCTCATCCGGTTCCCCGAGATGCTCGGAACTTGTAGTCACTGGTTTGCGACCCGATGACGAATCCGTGATGGAGTGCATGTACTGATGCAAAAATCCGTAAAAATAACTGGGGAAGACTTTGTCTGACCAGTGCATGAGGTAGTCCTCAGCCGACATCCTCGAGCTTGGGTCCACCTGGATCATGTGCATGATGAGCTCTCTGACATGAACATCTTGTATCTTGCTTAGATGCGAGTGTTCTGGATTGTATTCGCCTTGCTTATACTTGAATAGCTGGCTCAGTGAGAAGATTGGGGCCTCGAGGAACAATTCAGCAATGACGCAACCAACGCTGAAGATGTCCATGGCCCAGTTAACTTCGCCTTCGCCTTCAGGCTGCTGTCCGGAAGCCAAGAAACGCTCAGGTGCGAGATAACATGTTCGGCGGCCTGATAAATCAAAGTAGAAGGAGAAGTCAGCAGGATTGTCTTCTGGCAAATGCGCTGGCTTATATGACGAGGAGAAGTCTGCCAGATAGAGCCAATTCCAGGATGTGACCAGGATGTTCTCCGTCTTGATGTCGCCATGGAAAATGTTACGAGCATGACAGTCCCGTACAGCACAGAGTAATTGGAACGAGAGCCATTTCTTTTCGATCTCCTCTAGGAAGGGGCGTGTGCTGCTCAAGGTCAGATCTGAAGGTTCAAGACGTAGTCAGAGAATCGTCTACCTTAGACGATCATACAAGGAGCTGTGAATGTACTGGCGGACCAAGTACCCACAGGATGCTGTCTCGATGATACGATGGTATGCCAAGGCATTCGGCACCTCCGCGAGCAGTTTACGTTCATCTGCATTGCTTGAGTACTTGTACAGAAAGGAATGATGTGAGGGGATGCATACTCAGCAGCCGCCTGACGTAAATGTGAAAGTCGAATTGCGCGTATGGCTTCATTACAACCCGCGCCACGACCAGTCCATCTTTGTGGCGCGCACGGACTGATTTCATGAAACGAGCAGCTCCAAGAGACTTCTCATATTGCAAATCAGCCAGCTCAGGCACATCGATATTGGCCGAGCCGGCTGACAGCGTGGTGAGAGAGAATCCTTGGCCCATGTTGTGGTTGACGATCTGTAGGTAGGGGCGTCTAGGAGGCAGCAGGGTAGTACGGATGGGTTGCGAGACACATATTGACGAGCACGTCTGTGCGTATTAGATTCCACGGTCGAGACGAGGTAGACGCGGCCTGCACTGTCGCGGCTGGCCTCTTGATGTAGTGTTCACGCTGGGAATGTCTGGTGAGGTCATGTGCAGTCGTTGTTTCACTGGGAGCTGGAGGTGGCCGAGGTGCGCTACGGCTGCAAGTGGAATAGTCGTGTCCCGCGCTGTACGAAGTACTTGGTGACTTTGCATGCCGTGACGGAATTCTTCTGCACGCCACAAACGATGCTAGAACAGGCGCATACCGTCTTCTTCCACCCAGACCTTGGCATCGGCGGCGCGGAGCGTCTGGTCGTCGATGCGGCTGTTGCGCTGCAGGAGCGCGGGCACAAGGTGACCATCTTCACGTCCCACTGCGACGCGCACCATTGCTTCGATGAGGCACGCGACGGTAAGCTTCCGCTGCACCTGACAACCACCACCACCACCACCATCCAGTCGCTTATGCATGCAAGAGACAGCTGAGACCTGACGCTGGCGATAAGGAACCCTCGATGTGCGCGTGCGCGGCAACACGATTGTGCCGGCCTCGATCTTCGGCCGCTTCACCATCCTGTGTGCCATCCTTCGCCAGGTGCATCTGATCTTGCAAATAGCCCTCTTTTCAGACGAGCTGCAACAACTCGCACCCACTGCCTTCTTCGTCGACCAGCTCAGTGCTGGCATCCCACTTCTACGCCTCCTCCAGCCCCGCGCCCGCGTCATCTTCTACTGCCACTTTCCCGACAAGCTGCTGGCCAAAAAGGGCGGACATGTCAAGGCCATATATCGCCGTCCGTTTGATTGGCTAGAGAGTTGGAGTACAGGCTGCAGCGATACAATCGTAGTCAACAGCAACTTCACCAAAAGCGTCTTCGCCGAAGCGTTCCCTAGCCTCAAACACCGCAGTCCAGGTGTCGTCTACCCATGTGTAGACACGGCTGCTGGTGGCGCGACTTCTGAGCAGCAGCCGCTATGGCCGGGCAAGAAAGTCCTCCTCAGCATCAACCGCTTTGAGAAGAAGAAGGACATTGCACTGGCCATCAGAGCATATGCGGGCTTGTCGCACGTGGAGCGCACCAACGCGCGACTTGTCATAGCAGGCGGTTTCGACCCGAGAGTGGCAGAGAACACGGCCACATACACAGAGCTTTGCGCACTGACCGACGAGATGAAACTCACGCACGCGACTGCCAAAACCGTTGCTTCTGCGCAGGCAGTTCCCGGCGACATTTCCGTTCTTTTCCTCCACTCTGTTCCTGGCGCGTTCAAAGCCACCCTTCTCTCGACCGCTCGCCTACTTGTCTACACGCCGCGCAACGAACACTTTGGTATCGTGCCGCTCGAGGCCATGTTGGCCGGTACTCCGGTGCTGGCCGCGAACGAAGGTGGCCCCACGGAGACGGTGATCACCGGGCAGACTGGTTGGTTGAGGGATGTCGGCAAGACACACGACTGGACTGAGGTCATGCGCATTGCCCTTGAAGACGGAGACGGAGAACAGCGGCTGCGCGAGATGGGCCAATGGGGCCGTCAGCGGGTCATAGCCGAGTTCTCAAAAGACAAGATGGGAGAGCGGTTAGACACGACGATGCGGGAGATGCTGCAGCAGAAAGCACGGCCGTCTGTCATATCCAGGGCTCTAATGGCGTCTGGAGCTGCGTTGCTGGGCGTGTTTGTTGGAATTTTGCTTTGGTTCTTGCGGAAAGTCACAGCAAGCTAGAAAATAGATGACGGTGGTGTCTGCAGCAGCGTTATGCCCACCCAGCATACTCGAGCTGCAGCCCGGCCCTTCTCGAGTAGGTTCCAATGTAGAATCGCAAGACCCTCCTCGAACCTGTTCCATCGTTGTGCCATGCATGAATACAAAAAATCGCCCGCGACGTTCGCTGCACACCAGGGGCGCCGTGGAAAACCCAGCACGATGAAGCAGACCGGCACAGGCAAAGCAAACGCCGTGCAGCAAAAGAAACGCTGCACGGCAAAAGTACCGTCCCCGTGCAAAAGCAAGGTCTATCCCAGATTCGAACTGGGGTTACCAGAATTCTGGAATGTCCGTCCTGATGAACGAGACTTGTCAAAATCTGGAGTGATAACCACTACACTAATAGACCAATCAGTTGCTGGTGCTTGTTGATGGACGATTCAGGGTTTGCTGGATTATAATCGTGGTTGAAAAATTGTACTTGCGTGGCTCAGGGGGAGGAGTTCATCATGGCTGGGGCGGGGGCGTGTCTAGTGCATCAGAGGTGGGGCATTGTGCGGACGCTGAACCGTCAGGACTCCCTCCCCTAGCTCTCGGTGTGCATGGGACAGGCCAAAACCATTTAGGATGCATTATACGGCATTTTCGTACAGATGAACAATGTCTTGCTGTCCCAGTCAGTGCATGCGAGCCACTGGACTCTGACCCCGGCTCAGCGAGGAGCTTCAAGTGGCAAGACTCTCCTGAGTCAGCCCAGACCACACAGCAGAAAGCATGCCGGCTCGGGCAAGGTCTGGGCATGTAGACGAGCTTGGAGAGAACCATGATTCCATCTGATTCATTAATTCATAGCCTGGAGACGGCGAGTGGTATCCTGGCCGCATTCCCCGACCTGAAATACAGCACCGAGGCTGCCAGTTACGTAATCTATCATCTCGAGCGAGGCTCATCAACATCAATCGTTGTAGTTCACGATCCCACTCCCATCCTTGTTCGCCTTCGGAATCCCAAACTTCTCGCTCAGATCGTCCTCTTGAGACCTGCTCTGCGGATCCAAGTATGGTTTCTCCGCCCGCACCGCCACCCGAACGGCGTGTCTCCGATGAGGTGCGAAACCATATGAAGCAGAATGATTCTGGTTGTTGTAAGCATAGGCCCATCAGGCCACAGTGGCCAGGTCAAAGACTTACAGTCACTCTGTTGTCCCAAAAAGCGACATCGTGCGTGCCCCACTGGAACCTCGCATGAATTTCTGGGCTCGTCGCTACAATCTCATTCAAGAGACGGATGATGTGATCACTCTCGGTTTTGGGAACCCCCACAATCTTCGTGACGAAGCCAGGGTTGAAGAATATGGATTTCCAACCCGTTACTGGGTTCGTTCGCACCAGTGGGTGTGGTGTGGTCACTGGCTCGCGCCGCACTGTCCGGCCGAGGTCGCGCGAGCCCTGGGCCTGCAGGTCTGCGGAATGTAATGCGGTGAGAGATTCAAGGTATCGTTGCATGTGTGGCGAGAGCATGTCGTATGCAGCATACCCTGACGACCATAGCGTGTCGCCGCCGCCGCCACGAGGTGGACCTGATAGAAGTTTGAGGCAAGTGTATGCAGGCGGCTGAGCTTCGTAAGTCACCTGCTCCGACGTTAGCACTATTCGCTGTGATAAGTGGGCAGGTCAGCATACGTCTGAATGCCATAGAAAGGTAGGTGTGAACAGAGCACGCAGGTCCGGACTGCCCTCCCCTGAGTACACCACATGCACGTCTTCCAACCCCTGCCGCTTAGGGACAGCCGTCGTTGCATGCTTATGTAGTTCACCAAAGTACTGCCCAAGCTTTCGTTGCTCATCGACATCAAAGTTCTTCTGCCCTCGGAAGAAGACCACGCCTCTGGTAGCGATTAATCTGGCAAGATCGTTCTTCTGGGCGTCGCTCAATGTCGTTAGGTCCACGCCATGAATCTCTGTTCCAATCTTTGGGTTGTAGTCGAAAACATCTGTAGCATCTGCAAGAAGATTCCTGAAGTCTGGTGCCCCCAAATGGCCTTTGTCGACGTAGTCCACGTCAGTGTAGGCTGGCCACGTAATCTCAGGGAATCGTGGTCGCAGATCCTCGTACTCATACGCCTCAGGTGAACGATGTGCTTGGCTCCGACCAGGTACGTAGCTCTGAGCCTTGCGACTTAGTGTCTCTACCTGGGACTCGAAGCTGTGCTGGGGCTGCGGGTCAACGAGTCCGGGCGCCATGGTGGTACCGAAATGTAGTGTGGGTTGGGTCGATCTAAATTCGGAGGTGGAAGAATGTTTCTGTGCTGGTTGCTGGTATGTGGCAAGTGTCTTGTCTTGCAATTGAGGCTTATCACGCAATCCTTCTAATCTTAAACTTAGGAAGTGAGTAACAGCTTGCTTCAGTATTTATACTGAAGCACGTGTGGAGTAGATACGTGACGTTTATGTCACTCTCTACGCAACCTCTTACCCCACAAAGTGATTGCGCCATCGCACACAATTCCCATCACGTCCGTGTCATCAATGAGCTAAGCCAAAAGTCGCCAGACCAGACAGGAAATTAGGATGTCGGTGGGCAGACGAATTCGCTGCAGTACATGCTCGTTACACGAAAGCGTGACAACGTCTATTTGGCCAAACAACGTTGCCAGTTTCTCTTCGTAGCTTGCCTACTTTTTGAACGAGCCTCAAAGAATGCTTCATTGTCGATCCAACGACATGATTCGTTGTCAGATCCAGGAACAGATTCGCCATAGTTGCGAGTCGCGCATCATCGCGCTAACCCAATCAGGCAAGCTGTGAATGGTGCAATTATTTTGAGATATGGTGTCATCTACATACTTGCGGTAAAGAACACTTTCTCATACTCGTTCATGTATTGTAGATCCGCAACAGAGACGCGACGGTGAGGAGAACACGATTGATGTCTACCTTTCCTTTGATGTTTTTCGATATGTAATTTGCAAGCCGTCTGCGGAACTCAGTATTTGATTCGCCCGTGCCAGCGACAGTACTATATGAGTGTGAAGTCGTTTGAACACAAGAAGGCGTACAAGATTCTACAGTCTAGTCTGTCGGCCAGAGGCTCCCCAGCCTGTATACAAAAATTAGTACGACGTGAGGGTATTTTTGGGATGCGGTAGAGTTGTCATCAATGTTCTTCCCGGACTCAAAACGTGAGCATCGATATCAAGACTAGATACAGCTCGAGGATCTTGCCAATCATTGATAGACGATAGGATGCGAGGAATTCGGGCGCGGTGATGATCGCGTACAATCTGGTGCATTCTCGAAGTACTCGCGTGAACTTTCGATAGTTTTGCCTTCAATTGTCCCGTCATCGTCGGACTGCACATCCTGATCTGGCTCCGGACATTTAGCATATTTCAGAAGTTGGGTTTTCAGGAGCTGAGTCGTCAGAGGGTGGAGTTGGTCGTCAGGGAGAGGTAGACTTGGCTCATCTGGAGGTAGTTTTGGGTCACCCGTCGGAATTGTATCCAAAGGTATCCAAAGGTATTCACGCCACTACGTTGCGACGATCTCGTACAAACTATCCAATTCGGTTGCTGTTAGCAGCATTAAATTGTCTTTGTTGTGGTCCACCCCTTCGTGAACGTAGAAGAAGAAGAAGCCAGGCTGTGAAAGTAGCTCTACGAAGGTAAACCTGTTCAGGGGTCTAACAAGGCACGGCAAGATGTTCACATCTCCATTACCATCGTCTTCGCTCTCGTTGATATATGCACAGTTGTTGACAGTAACTCGGCTGCAGGAGGCCGTTCGATGGAATAGCCATGTTAGGGGTCTCCCCGGGCATCTTCGTCGCTAGGGGCTTCTCTGCGGTTGAAGTTCCGTTGGCGGATACTATTCCGTCGCCTTCTCGTATGGTTCTATAAGGGCTTAGCTAGATCCCAATTTGCGATGGGACGTATTACACTTCGACTCGATAGTCATGGAGAGCAATCGACAAGACGAAATATTCGTGGATCGAAAAGCGAATAAAGGAGGACCAACTTCGCCATTCCCTAAGACTTCCTTGACTCGGTCTCATGTGTAGGAGCCTGGTCGAGAAGTGGCTGCGCCTTATCTTGCGATGTTATCACTTCGTCGGGCTGAACGCTTCCGTTATCTTTTGTGGGCAGAGCCCATCGATCCTCTTGTTTGTTCTTATCGTCCTCTACTGACTCTGGTAGTGACGGTTTATCTTCCTTGGTTTTCTCTCTTCGATCAGCTGGCTTTGTCTTTATTGAGTCGCTCGCGCTTGGGAGGCATTATTGCGATTCATGACACTTATCAAGACAGTGGAAGCTGTGGTAACGAAGGGAACAAAAATCAGAAGTGGAAAGCAAAGTGAAAAGAAATGACACTCGCGTGTAATGAATTGCATGCTTTGTCCTTGATCAACAGAAGGGACGCCGGTTGTGTTGATATGTACACGGCACAAGCGCAGAGATAACAATGGCACAACCGATGAGCCAATAAGCTACATTTCGACGTACACAAAACACCCATCATAACATCATATGAACACTTTTGTACAGGTCGAGCTTTACACAATACAGACTGCGAAGTTGCTCTTCGTGGCAGCCGATCGTGTCAATGTGCAAAGCGTGTCGAGGGAATGCAGGCACTTTGTAGTCGCTCCTGCCCATCAAACTAAGAGCTGATGGTTTTCAACCCAGGTCCCTTGACCTTTCCACTGAGTCTAGTCGAGCGTGTGCTGGTTGGACCCTTCGTCTCGGGAGTCTGAGGGGCAACTTCGAGGGACGCCATACCACGTTCGCCACGTCTATAGTGGCGAGATATTGACATGTGGCGGTGCCATAGTTCATACCTGATCGGAGTATCCGTCGACGAAGCCGTAGATTACGTTGTTGTTGTTATCCATGTAACAATTTGGCCGAGACACTCGAGAGGGGAAAGTTGCTTCGGAACGTTCTGCGCCCGAATTCATTGATTTCATGACATTCGCTGCATCGATAGAGGAGGGTGTCGTATAGTAACTGCTTGGGTCTGCTACAAGGTTGTACCCATGAGGGTAGTGCCACGTGTTGTTGTAAGATTGATCGTACGAGTAGCCATAGGAGACATCCTCGGATTTGATGACGGGTGCTGGCGGCGTAGACGGCGTTGTATAGTATGCAGCTGAATAGGACACGGGTGGTGGTGGTGTGTCCATACTAGAAACAATCGAACCAGGACTTGGCGAGTCGCAGCAACTCATTGCTGTGGGTCGCGATGCGGGAATCCTGATTTGTGGTACTGAGGGCATATGGCGTGGCACTGAAGCTGCTCTCATGGTTGCCGGTGCCGGTGCAGCTGTCGACGGAAGTGTGCTGCAGGTGATTCTTCGGTCAAGTATGGTATCCAGCATCGGTACTGCTGAGTTGTGTTCGAAAGAGCGGCC